ATGTGGGAAACCCTAGGATAACACTCCCAAATTTAATGACGAGCTTAAAGGATTATGGGGAGCTATCAAATTTGAAAATCAACCCAACAAAAACTGAGATTTTAAATGTAAATCTTCCAAATAGTGAAAAAGAAAAGATACAAAAAGAATTCCCTTTTATATGGAAAGATAGAGAGATAAAATATTTAGGGGTTAAACTCACTGCTTCATATACGAACTTGTATAAGTTAAATTATATCTCACTCTTAAATGAGATTAAGGAGGAACTAAAGAAATTGGGAGGTGGTAACCCATCTTGGATAGGTTGCATAAATCTGATAAAAATGGTAATTGTACCTAAAATCCTATATAAATTTCAGATAATCCCAATTAAACTTCGGGAGGTTTTTTTTTAAGGTAATTAAAAAGATGTTAACAAGATACATATGGAAGAATAAAAAACCTAAAATATCTTATGATTTGTTGAGTAGAAATAAAGAGAAAGGTGGATTGGGAGTGCCAGATTTTAAGAGGTATTATAGAGCAGTAGTTCTAGCGAGAATTTACGACTGGAGACACAATCCAGAGGGGAAAAGTTGGGTCAAAATTGAAAATGAACTAAGCGGAGTTAATTTGAGTAAAACCATATGGGTACCAGCACAATATAGAGGGTTAAAAGATACCACGAGTGTTTATACATTAAATGTTTTAAGGGTTTGGGATAGACTGCACAAGCTTATGAAGTGGGATTTTAATTCACAATTAATGTCACTGAGGAACACGGAGTATTTCCCTCCAGGAAGGGAGGAGAATACAGGAAAATGGTTTTAAAAAGGAGGACATTCAATTGAGAGATATTATGGAAGGGCAGGAATTGAGAACACTTAAGGACTTGGAAAAGGACAAAAGGGAACTTTTCATTAAGATAGATGAGTGGAGATATCACCAATTAAAACACTTTGTCTGGAGTTTTCCGAAACCTTTGAGTTTGAGAAAAGATTGGAATTTGTTTGAGAGGTTGTTGGAATCACGCAGAGATGGGAAACGGGGCACAGCAAAAATCTATAAGATTCTCACTGAATTAGACGCACACACAAAGCCAATGTACATAGCAAATTGGGAAAGGGATTTGGGGAAGGAGATAGATGAGGACAAACAGAGGAAGATATATAGACTAATGCACGAGAATGTAAGCATGAGAGAGGTAAATTATAAATGTTTAATAAGATGGCACCTTACACCGAATATTGAACACAAGATGAGTAGAGAGTGTTGGCAGGGGTGTGGAAAGATAGGCATGTTATATCACATATGGTGGGAGTGCCCAAAAATTCAAGGTTTTTGGAAGATAATAGTTCACTTAATTGGGATAATTACTGAGATAAAGATGGGATTGGATCCAGAGATGTGTCTATTACATAGTACAGAACTATCAGTGAACAAATATAAGGATTCGGGTATATGGTATTATTTAAATGTGGCAAAGGGTCTGATACCTAAGTTTTGGTATAGGTCAGAGAGGTGCCGAGCGAGGAGGACTGGGTGGAAACAGTGAATCAGATATGTAGGATGGAGAAACTGTATTACATGCAAGAAGACAAGATGGGGTTATATTATATGAGGTGGGGAAAATGGGAAGATTTTGTGCCCAAGGTGAAATAATGAAGCAGTAGAGTGGGATATGTGAAAGTGCCCCTTGCTTAGGGAGAGATATAGTGGAGAAATGCAGAGTGGGTGGTTTTTGGGGGGGGGGGGGGATTTAGATAGGTGGGGAGGGGGTATGGCAATAGTGACAGAAAGGGATATAATTGATGGTTTTGTATGTTATATGAGAGCGATGATGCTCCCCGTTAAGGATTAGCACCTTTGGAAAGCGGGGGGAGCGAGGGGAGGGGGTACCCAAATTTGACAGATACCCGCTCCCACTTCCACTGCGCTCACCTAGGCGATTGGAAGCGGAAGTTGTCCTCCCCCCTCCCTTCCTGTATTCTTCCTGACACGTGACAGGTCCCAGAAGACTACAGGACCATTCACAAAGCACAGCGCTACTCGCGCATGTGCAGTGCGTACCCGGCTGTGAAGCCGCAAGCTGTCACAGCCTGGTGCCCACACTGAAGATGCCGGCGCTGAGGGGACAAGATGGTTGGTCAACCCAGCCGGTGTGAGGACACTGCGGGATTGAAGGACAGGTAAGTGTCCATTTTTTAAAAGTCAGCAGCTACAGTTTTTGTAGCTGCTGACTCGTTTTTTTTTTTTGTATTCCAACTGGACCTCCACTTTAAGGAGAGAGAGGCCATTCATTAGGAAACAAGCAAAAAACTGAGGATTGTTGGGCATGGGGGAGGTTATATAGGCAGTTCTAAAAACTCTGTTTCCCAGTGTCCTCATCTGAAGGTGGCAGCATATAACTTAGACTTAACTGATTCCCAACCACGCTATAGCTGAAAGACAGCTACAGTGCGGTTGTCCAGTTCTGGGTCGGTGTCCATGGACGTCCTCCCAGAGTGCCCCCCCTGCGCGCCCCCAGCGGCGTGCACCCGACAATATCGGTGATCGCTGTGTTTTACGGACACTGCTGATCACGTGATGAGGTAAAAGGCCAATCACTGTGGCCTTTTACAATGTGATCAGCTGTGTCCAATGACACAGCAGATCACCGGGTAAATACAATTGTCGTGAGGAAAGTACTGCCGATAACTGGCAAATGTGACAGGGGAGATCTGCACTGATTATCAGTGCCCTGATTATCACTGTTCAACAAATTTTCATTTTTTTTGCCAGTGTCACCCAGCAGTTGGAAACACCCATCAAGGCAGTGTACAGCATTTCTTAGTGCCCATTGCCACATATCTGAGTGCCCAGCACTAACTGCCATCAGTTTCGCCAGTCAGTGCTGGCTCTAGTTCCAGTCAGTGCCACCTGGGAAAGTGCCCATCTACTATCAGGCGTAATGCTACATATCAGTGCCTCCTCACAATAATTATCATAGATAGATGTCTTTGCCACAAATATAAAGCATCAGTGATATTGCACTACATCAACGCACAAAGCCTAAATGGCAAAATATATTGCATAGGGATTACCAAGAAAAATTATAGCCATCAGCATAAGTTGAATCATTTTAATACTTTAGGATTCCCAGTTGCGTTTTTGTCAAAAGAAATTCAGTTTGTGTCGGTTTTGCTTCTCTGGGCAGTGGCCATCTCTTGTATTCGAGGAACAGGGCTACAACTGCAAAGTGAAACGCTTGGTAATTCTATCCTCAGGGGACTCAACAAAACAAAGACTGCAGTGACTACAAGTGCTAGCACCTAAAAAAGCCTGTGTCTTCCTCACTATTCAGACAACCACAAACTTCGAATTCTGGTGCTTTATTTTTTGGTTACCCCTCTCCATGAGGAACTGGACGTATTGCCGATGGACTATTTGGATAGTGCACAGAAACTTTTTCTTCTTACCTTTAGCCCTTTTACAATTGAGGCACCATAACAAAAGTAACAATTACTAACATGATCTGTTGGCTCTCTGACAAAATAAAAATTTCATTGGCAAGACACAGAAAGGCATAGATGCCTTTTTTCCATTCAACCATTGCTCCAGTGCCGTCCCACAAGAATTGCAGCATATATAGTTGTGCCCTGCTCTTGTCCTGGTCTCCTATCTTGCAGCCAAAATCACAAGTTGTAGGCTTTCTTAATCATTCTGTTATCCTCTTTTTTGTGAGATAAATGTTATTTCACCGCAGATATAGCAGTAAATTATCTGCTTTATTCACACAAGTTCGAGGCATTACTGAGTAGCCTATATAGAGCATAAAACGAACATGTAGGAAAGACGCTGGTGTCGAACTACAATCAGCTACAGATACTAAAACCAAGCTTTTATGCAGTGAAGTGATGCAATTAAAGCTAATATTGCATCATCTCAGTATACATGCAATATTTTTATTGTTGTCACCAGTCAGTTCAATTGCGCAATATAGAAAATGCAGCTGAAGTTGCATCATCATAAATTTGAATGGCTTACGTCATTAGATGGGTGAATATTATCATGGAAACTAGAGCCAATCAACATTTTTTAGGGTCATTTTCGTTTTCAGCACCCCAAAAATTATGTAAGATTAGCTAATTTTATCTTTGCCCAAAACTTTTTACCTGTTGAACAGTGATGTTATCAGTGCTGCTCAGCAAAGCCACCCATCAGTGCCCAGCAGTGTCATCCATCAATGCCCATGCAGTGTCACACCGGCAGTGCCCAGAAATGCCACCCATCAATACCCAGCAGTGTCATCCAGCAGTGCTGCTCTTCAATGCCCAGTAGTGCCACCTATTAGTGCCCAGCACTGCTGCCCATCAGTTTCGCCAGTCAGTGCTGTCTGTCAGTGCCTCCAGTCAGTGCCACCTATCAGTGCCCATCAGTGCCACCTATCAGTGCGCATCATTGCTGCATATCAGGTGCCTCCTCATCAATGCCCACCAGTTCCTCCTCATCATCATTGCCCATCATTGCTACCTATCAGTGCTGCCTATATTGCCCATCAGTGCTGTGTATCAGTGCAGCCTCATCAACGCACATCAGTGAAGGAGGAAAATTACCTGTTTGCAATATTTATAATAGAAACAGACTTTTTTTTCACATTTTTTGCATCTTTTTTTGCTTAAGTGCAAAAAATAAAACCCCAGTTGCGTTTAAATGCCACCAAAAGAAATCTCTATTTGTGTGGAAAAAATAGGATAAAAATGTAGTATGGGTACAGTGTTCCATGACCCCGCGAAATTGTCATTCAAAGTGAAACAGCAAAGTGCAAATTGGCCTGGGCAGGAAGAGGTGAAAGTGCCCGGTAGGCAAGTGGTTAAAAAAGCCTGTGTCCTGTACTGTACTATTCAGAAACCATATTTTAACTTCGAATGTCACATCTTTATTTTTGTGAGTTACAACATCTGGATACATGAATGGACACAGCCATGTACTATTGATCAAAACGTCCTTTGACCTTTAGGTAACCAATATAAAAGTCTTACCTTTAAGATGTAAATATGTTAAAAATTCAACCAGTGTGCGCAGGACATTATCGTCTGACAAAGTTCTATAAAAATTTCCTAGGAAGACACAGATGTAAAGCATGAAAAGTTTAGTCATTATGATGTATTGTCTACAGATCATTTCAAATATAGCTTGTCCTGCTTTTTCTGATGATTATTTAAGCAAATGATAAACTCAACTGTAAAGTACTGTTTGTTAAATCCTAATGTCTTGTTCCAGCTGGTGTTTGATGTAATGGCTTGCATTTTATGCTTTGTGTTTGCAAATACAGCTATGGAAATACAATGTAATGTAAGTGTAACTGAACTAAACTTGTAGCTCAACTTTAATATATCAACCTCATTTTTTAAAAGGCAGACTAGAGTGAGAGATGTGACATAGAAAGCAACAGTAGGAAAGAGTGGTGTCATGTGCCTCATTGTACAGCAAGGCAGAGGTACGTAAAACACAAGGCTGGCTTGACAGAATTACAGATGCTTTACCAGCTAATAACCAGAAACACAAATCTATTGGCAGACAAAACAGCCAGTCTTGTATCTTTGTATTTGTTGTACACCTGGATTTCAGTTGAGGCTTTTTATTGCGAATTAGAAAATGTCAACTAGCAATTACATGATTAGTTGTATGAAAATAATATTTTTATCCTCTTCAAGAAAGGTCAAGTTGATGTTAAATATCCCAGTCATTTAATTATCTAGTCATGTTTAAGCAGCAGTCATTTACAGTCATTATCATGGCTCCAGAAGTATAAGTTTTTTTTTTTTGCAAGCACTACAATAGTACATTATTTTAAAGAGCATAGTTGGAATGAATATTAATTTTATTATATACATCAGAATCAAGCTGTTCAAAAATATTTGCTAAAAAATTAGATCTTATGACTTATATGACGTTTTTTTGACTGGATGACTATTTACACATTGACTTCACAGCAAATCTAAAATTAAAGAGAACCGCTATTTTGTCATGATAATCAGTAACTATGGAAACACAGGCCCTAGGCTACATTTTATAAAAGACTCAAGCTGGCAATCGATGGTTCGAATCTCGGCCAGTACAGCAGGGACTGGCTGAGATTCGAACGATCTCTAGTCAACGTTGATTGTACCCAATTTGATTGTTGTATGACTTGGGTACAATCAGCCAGTTGGATTTTTCATGTGATTATTACCAGAGGCTATTGCCACTACCAATAATTATTGTGTTCTTCTGGCCGGGGTCTCTTTCTGCGCCCCCTTCCCCCCCAACAGGGGAACACAATAGCTCCCCAGGAGGGATTTCCCCACCAACACTGTGTTGATGGAGGAATTGAACGATCTTCTTTCCTGCAACCAGTGGTTGCATCATAATTTGCATCATCTATGACTTGCCTTAACGTGTATGTAAACTCTAACAACAAATTTATCTTATGTGTTCTTTTTAAATGTACCAATGGAAGCATTTTTATATTGGTTTGATAAATGCAAAACAACTGTTAATCTTATAAGAGAGTCATTGGTTCGGATCCCAACCACAGCACCACCTGCCTGGAGTTTGCATGTTCTCCCTGTGCCTGTGTGGGTTTCCTGGGTACTCCAGTTTCCTCCCACACTCCAAAGACATGCTGGTAGGTTAATTGGATCCTGTCTAAATTAGCCATAGTATGTGTATGTATGAATGTAAGTTAGGGACCTTAGATTGTACGCCCCTTGTAAAAGTGCTGCATATATTGACGGCGCTATATAAGTACCTGTAATAAGTAAAAATAAATAAATAAAATTCAGATCTGTCTTGTGTTCTGTGCAAACGTCATGTGTTATCTCAAGCAATCCTCCTAGTTCTTATCTTGGACTATCTTGGAATAATTAGCTTTTATGTTGTAGAGATCTTTGAGTGGGAGTGGATGAGTAGTTTAGCAATAGACACTGGGCAGAGCTGACACCACTCAATCCACAAAATCATCGCCATCAGCTATTTTATACTTTGAAAGTCAAATTACTTTTTAAGTACAGACAGTACAAGATGCCTGCTATTACTGTTTCTATCCAGAAAACCCTGTACACTATTCTGACTGCTGGACTAGAAATGTCAACTGCCATGAAAATGGTAATGTTACATTGTTAAGCTGGCCATACACTGTTGGAATTCCTGCTTCCTGATGAATCAGCCAAAATTTGTTTAGTGGGTAGTCCTGTTGGCCCCTCATAACTGATGTCCTTCAAATGAAAAATTGATGGAGCCGTGCGAAAAATTGTCAGCCAACAGCCGGGGGATTTGTCTACCCGTGCTGTATAGTGTGGATGGAGCAATTTGTTAGATTTTGTTTTATTCAGCCAGGAGGCTGCATGAAAAAAATTTGATAGTGTATGACCACTTTTACTGTCTGATCACAGAGGGGAAGGAAACGGCTTTTTCTGTTTGCGGGACAGTGACGTCATCTCAGCCTAGGTGAAATCACATCACTGGAGCTCAATAACAGCGCTGCAAAGGTAAAAGGTACATTTTAAAAAAAAAACTTATACTGTTCTTGTATATTGTGGCATGTTAGGAATTGATTCTTGCAGATTTCCAGTGTACTGAAAGCTCAGTTTTAACCTTCAAAAATGTAAAAAGGGTCAACATGTTAACTTTAATATAAAGGATTAAAGAGTGCTGGCTTGCACTAACCTATTTCAACCACTCAGAAATTATTTTCAGACGTTTTATGTTTTCTTAATTTACATCTGGTTGCTTTGGATTACTGATATGGCAATATGGTTATTAGGCTTGTTTATACATGTTTTGATAATCAAAAAATGCAAGAGTAATAAATTCAGAGATATGTTAATTCTCCATTTATATAAAGGTTGTTCAGCAGATGTGCCCAATACATTTATAATTACTGTAAATATTACCTGACTTTATATCCTCTTCTGGCTGTAGCTCACGTTTTCCAGCTATTCCATGTTTGTCATTAAATGATCTATGATTATCTATTGCATCTGGTAAATGAAATTAATAGGAGAGATTATGTTATTTGCCTTCCGCGCAGCTTAGTAGAAAACAGTGTTCTGTGATAAGGATATGGGACAATTACTGTAATGATTCTGATAATAAAACATGCATTGTATAGAAGATTCTAGAATTAAGAAATAATAGATGAAAGTATCATAAATGAACTTGTAAAAGGTGCATTGCATATTTGGGGATAAAACAAAAGGTTCTTCAGATGAGCAATATAAAGTACATGATGTGTATTATGTGAATAAAATGAAACTTGTAGAGAACAGTGATCTGTGATATACTAAAACATATGTGTAGTTTTTATGCCTTTACATTTGTGTGTAATATTTGAATTCTTATGAACAGCTGAACTAAATTAACCATCACGTTTGAATGTATAAAAAAAATCTAAACTGTTGTGGGCTGTGGGTATTCTTTTTATATACTGTAGTATATGAGGCTGATTTTTTAAAACTGGAGAGTGAAAAATCTGGTGCAGCTGGGCATGGTAGCCAATCAGCTTCTAACTTCAGCTTGTTCTATTAAGCTTTAACAAAGAAAAAAAAACAAACAAACTGGAAGCTGATTGGTTTCTATTGCAGAGTTGCACCAGATTTTTCACTATCCAGTTTTGGTAAATCAACCCCTATGTGTCTAATTACCTTGTAAAATAAAATTCCCAAGTAATTTTTTAAAGTACAACCAAATTAGGTAGAACATAGATTTTATACGAGTAACTCAAAGTGTTCAGTTTAACCCCAACCTCCCTTCCCACTGTGGATGCAGGGAGCTCCTATGCTGCGCTATTGTATTCTGAGAGCGGGGACTCCTCCCCTGAAAGAATACACTGATCAGTGCTGCAGCTACTGGCTGCTCAATTGCTGATTTTCCAGCAGGACCGTTTATCAGAAACCTGTCTAACAACAGACTTCTGTTAAAAAGAGAGGGTAACACATGGATCAAAATATAACCGGTACCTGATGAACCAGCTGATTTTTAGTCTGTGTGTACCCAGCTTAACCAACAATTTAAACAATGACTCAAAGGGATTGACTAGAACTAGAGAGTGCAAAAATCTGGTGCAGCTGTGCATGGTAGCCAATCAGCTTTTAACATCAGCTTGTTCGATTAAATTTTGACAAAAAAATCTGGAAGCTGATTGGTTTCTATGCAGAGCTGCACCAGATTTCGCCTCTTAAGTTTAATAAATCAACCCCAAAGCCGTGTATATCAATGTGTTCTTCCTAGGAAATTGAGTTATTTTCCCACAGCTACCAATCAGGTCCAAACGTTTAGGGCAAGTCTTATGCTGATTTGTGGCTGAGAAGAAATGAATGAATAATTATATAGTTATTTGGGTTGAAAAAAGACATTATCCAGTGTCAATCTAGTTCAACCAATAAAAAATAAACAGAATAAAAAAATAGAAAACCTCCATAACACAGAACCCTATATCCACAGTTGATTCAGAGGAAGGCAAAAATTAAATAATTAAAGTGTTACTAAACCCCGGACTTTGCATTCACTATATCTGGTCTCCCACAGTACACAGACCATGGAAGTGCAATTATTTTAGTAAATATAAACTGCTAAATACCTTTTCTTAACAGCAGTTAGAGCAATCTTGTGACTTCTATCTGTGTCCAGCCCACCACTAGCTAAAGCTTGTAGGAGGAGTTTTCTTTCTGCTTTAGGAGGATGGAAATCCCCTGACCTCTGTCTGGACAGTGCCGATTGGCCCTGTGATGATCACATGCACTCTCCCAAGGGGAAAAAAAAACCCTCTCTAGCAATACACACCAAACTGAGCATGTGCATGCCTATGGTTTCAGTCTGGAATTAAGAGGTGGTCACTTGAAAAAGGGGAGGCACGGAGAAAAAAGGATCAAACAGCATTTTTACACAATGCAGAGGATTAACCCCATAGGTTCCACATTGAGTATAACAAGCATGCTTTACTGCATATACAGACTGATTTTACTGTTGTGGGTTTAGTAACACTTTAAAAGCCTAAAAACAACATGTTGATGAGCAGGGACTGTTTTAAACACACACACACATATATATATATACTGTGTATATATATATATATATATATATATATATATAAATCCTGGTTATTAGAAAGCCCTTTCAAACCAGAGAGTTTGCAACTGCTGAGGTTCAGTAATATAATTATGTAATCCAAAGGCAATAGGCAGCTTAAGCTGCCCTTAGCACTGGTGCTATGGCTAGAACATCTCTCTATAGCGGGACTCAATAACCACAAGATGTGCACCTAGCATGGAAATCTGCCTAACTCCACCCAACCTCACCGCTTAGCCAATGAAATACCAGTCTTTATAGACCACCTTAACACTTTAAAAAATGATTACTAAATAGCTTTGTTACTATTATTTCCCCATGCAACTCCTACAGTCCTACATGTGTCTGCTTCCATTATACAATTAGAGATGACCGTGTTTCCTCTAGATAAACCCTTAGGTCACCCATACTACAACTCACTACTGCAGTTTGCGAAGCGGTGAGGTGGAGCTGTAGGAAGTGCATAAAAGGAAGCCAACATCCTTTTAATTGCTGATCAAGCCAATTTCGTCAGGACAGGTCTCTTGTAAGTCTAACTCCAGCCAAAAGTTTTGGTGTTAGTTCTTTGTAGGGCAGGAAAGGACTGGGACTGTCCGTTTCAATACTGTCTGTGTCTCTGTTAGGGAACATTTCAAATATGACAGAAAAATGTTCCTTGTGTCCCCACAGAGGATGTTTTTCTTTTCTTCCTGTTCTATCTGACAACCATAACTAGAAAAGGAAGTCATGGGAGATCCGCATATGTATACAGGCAGGAAGTCATGGAAAAAATCACCCAAATGAAAGCCTAGGCAACAATAAAAAAAGCTTTATTATAAAAACAGTAAGATCTCATGCACAAGTGTGCATTTGCCCACATGGGGTAAAAAATCAGGCATATTTTAGTGCCCCGGAGCCCCTATGCACAACTGCCCATAGACATGAAATAATGGAGGCCACTTTATGCAAGTTGTGGAACCTAGTTACATACAGCCACCTCCAACCATTCATAAGTTTGCACAACAGCCCGTAGACATGAAAGGATGAAGGCCACTTTATGCTAGCAGTGGCGTATAGTTGCGTACAGCCACCTTCACCCATTCATATCATTGGGGGGTTGTGCACAGCACCATGGGCTCCCAGGCATTAAATTATGGATGTTTGTTTATGCTGTGCAAGCAGATTTGCCAATGTGCATGAGCCCTAATTCTGGTTGAAAGGCTAAAATGTCTATGGCAAATCTTAGCAACTCACAACAGTACAACGTTAATTGTTCTATGAGAAAAAAAAAAGTTGGGGAGATAAAACTGAATTCATTAATTTTATGAATGAATGAATGCATGAATTAATGAATGAATAAATGAATTTCTAAACCCAGTGATACCTGGTTAAAATTTGTTTCTATTTTATCATTTTCTTTACCATGCATTTTAAATATTTTATAATCAGTTTGTTATTTCAGTTTATGTGTTTAGTGGTGTTTAATTCTAATTTAAAGTCTGTTTAGCAAAAGGAAGCAGTGTCTGCCCTCACCTAACCTACTTACATTCCCCAGGTGACTCTTCTCTCCCCATTTCAATGGGAATTTCCTTAACCAGTACAAGCTGATCAATACGACCTGAAATAAGAGATGGCGGCCATTAGCCATTCTAACCAAGCTGGCATCTGGCAGAAACAGACCATCATTATGCCACTTTGATCTATTTAATGAAAATGAGCTCACAGAATCACTGCAGAAGATTAAATTCTCTTAGAATTCATTGCAGAAAATGGCACAAGCCTATAAATCACACAGTTAAATCATATACTGAATCATTTGGAGAAAACAGCTTCTGTGCTCGAAAATCTGATACTAAACAGGTTTTTTTTATTTGAGTATAGCAACATATCAATGTGCATATTAGGAGAGGTGTAGAAAAAGGAGCTGTTTTCCATACTGTGCTTAAGCTTTATCAAAAATGGGTGGGAAACCTTATCCTGAATTATAGGGAATGTGATATACGAAGGGCAGTCCATGAAAAATATATGTATGGAAAACTTTCCATATATTCATTTAGGGGAAATTATATGTGTTTTCCTACAAAAATACCTTCTAGTCTAATTTTTATTAGCAGTTTAAACTTTCAGATTCCTGGGGTGGTTTCAATTATTGACAAATCTGCAAGATTTTGCAGATTAGTTTGTATTTGTTTTGAGTAAGTCTTAAAGTGTCCTCATTTTAGATTTTTAAGCCTTGACCACATGTACTTCAATTTGTATAAGAGCAATGTGTGCAGCAAGCTGCTGTCCAGTAAAAACGAAGCGTTTTTAATGCATCCCTCCAGCCACAAGTGTTAACAGGTCCTAAAGGCTTCAACAAATCTTGCCAGAAGCTCTGAAAATGCTTTGTAAAAGCATGCTGTACACACAGCTCTATATAAAGAAGAACTTAAGGAAAACCATACTTAGAGAAACACAAAGGTTGCCTTTGCTCAGTAAGGATGAGATTAGGTTTGGAGTGAACTAAATTCAGCCCGAACCTGATAGAAACTGTCACATGACTGCAGGCTGCCAATCAGCTGTGGCCATGGAATTCCCTGTCCCACAGCCACATGTAATAAAAGGACAGGGATGCTAGTGGCATCATTGACCTAAAATGGCCACTTGGCCATATCTGTTCAATTACTTTGTCATTGACATAAAACGCCTTTAACCCATGCAGTAAGGAGGGATAATTGTTTTCTAACTCCTGAATTTGGGCTTTAGCTGATCAGGTAAAGCATGCAATCTTGTTTTAATGAATATCTTGCAGTCCCCATGTTCAGTCTGCATCAGGGGCGGACTGACCATTTGGATATTCGGGCACTGCCCGAGGGCCCGGGGTCAGTAGGGGGCCCCATGAGATGCCCCTGGTACCTTTTTCATAGGCTTTTTTGAGTTTGGGCAAGGACAGAGGGGCCCCATGATCCCCTATTGCCCGGGGACCCCATGAGTTGTCAGTCTGCCCCTGGTCTGCATGGAGCATTCAAATAAGGCTGTTTTATGTCTTATTTGCAGGTAAATGCATTAGAAAATGTGTGTGTTAATCTATTTCCTTAAAATAAATCTACAATGTGACTAGAAAATAATGCAAAGTGAATATGGATAGTTATCATTATACCATCCATTCACAAGTAGCAAAGTATGAAACTGTACAGGCCAAAGTTAGCATGCATGCACATGTACACTGTGATACCCCTTTGCAAAACATGTATTAGGGTTTCCTTACTATAAATGTTTTTATTTTTTTTAAGTCACATTTGGTGATAACAGTCCACGTGCCACGATGTATTGTTCTTGCATGAAAAGCACATGTAAAATGGCTAACTGATTTAAAATAGCTCTAAAAAATATAATTTCCTATTTTAATTACTCATTTGGTATACATCAATGTTAAAGCCTGTGCTGCTTAGCAAACTAATTTTGAAGAGAACTAGCTACATGTATGCTGTTATTATTGTGCATGTCTCTGTGGGCATCCTGTGTACATAATAAATACCATGAGAATACACATCAGATGTTTGGTCTGGTTTGGAATGTATCAGTGCCACAGGATTGTGCATATACTTTAAATGCATTTTAAATCTGACCCTCCTGATTAGTACAAGAAGCAGGCAAACAGCAATTTTCAGAAGATGAGCAATGGCAGCCTCCCTATTTCTCTCATTACAGATTTGCTTTAAAATGCTGGGAGGTCTAAAATAGTACTTGATTTTTTGCTTTTTAAATTACATTTAGTTTCATTTTAGGTTTAATTATGGAAATGTTAGAACTTTTACGTTAGCTCTTTATTGATTTAGGGCTAGCATGCTGATATTTTTAAGACTACACTTTTTTCCATAAAGAGAAATGTCATCTTCCAGTTTTATTATAAGGCTTAGCTGTTTCCCAAATTCAGATGCATAACTGTCCCATTTTTAGCAATGTTGACACTCTTTACAGTAATTCTTAATGATTCCTTTAATTTACATTTATAAGGTTTTTTTTACATAAAGGAACCTTTCTCTGGAATAAAGCTTGCTACAGCTGATACTGAAGGAGCAACAAAGAACACCCCATTTTTATCTATTTATTTTTGATGGATGGAGAATGAGAACATTGAGAGAGGAAAGGTGTTATTATGCATCTTCATATCATTATTTCAATTTCCTTATTACCAAAAACTTTTCTTTAACTAGGTGCAGCTCAAATTAATGGTCCAGGAACCAAGCATTATTAGAAAAGCCAGTTTTAATTCTTCAAATGAAAAAAAAAACAATTGAAATACATAGGCATAACATTTCTTAGATACAGTTGTATCTTGAGTTTCCAAAAGAAAAATGTTTCATTAAAATTTAAACACAAGAAAGGAAATCTATTATAACTATAGTAGCATATGTGACTGCTTTGGAGTCCATCAGCAGTGACACAATACTGCTTGCCTCTCTGTGCAGTAGTAGGTGTTGGCAAATTACTCTAAAGTTAACATATTACTGTATACTGTAAATATAGTGCTGACATCTCTTTCAAAATGTTACAAACGTATTACATGCACCTCAGTGTTAAATGTTGCTTCAGACTGCCAATTTCAAAGTTTGGGCAAGATGGAGGTTTTAAAACCAAGAGATCCTATAGTTTATCACTAAGATGGGGGGAGTCCTACAATAACACTCTAAGGGAATCTATCACATATGGTTATGACCAGTTGTCAAAAAGGTTGAGTTTTAAACAGCGTCTTTGGAACTCTCTTTGTAATCCAGTCTATAGTTTGGTCTGCATACTCAAAGACAGTGAGGAACATCTTGTGACATTTACAAAGACATAAAAGAAGTAATTGTTTTAAATGTTGCAGTTAAATGCACAATGCAAAATACTAAAATATTTTAAAAATAAGTAAAAAACCCTCAAAGAGAATACATTTGTATAAATAAACTTCAACAGTCAGCCTGACCAAAACTGATTTGATTAATCATAAATGGAGACTGATTTTCAAGTCACCATCTAGCTTCTTATAGCTTTTGGGGACTTAATTGGCATCATATCCATGTCATAGTTTCTTGCTATTTTCCCACCTACCTTGACTGTTACATGTTCCCTCCCACCTTGAGCTGTTCCCTTTACTTTTGTTAGATTAGATAATAAATGTATAAAATCAAACTGCAAAAATAGACCACTAACTGTGGCAGATTCAAAAGCCTAGGAACTTAGAGATCTCAGCACTGGAGTCCTGAGAAATATATGGAGCCATCTGGAATTTGAAATGATCAGTCTCTATACAGACATAGCAGACAATGTAACTGCTCTGTGATCAACAACAAAAGGGACCTAGAACAGTCTGGCTGCATAATAATTTATCCAGATAGAAATGCCATGAAACCACTTAGCGTTAAAGGCTTTACTACCGGCACATACAATGGATAATGTAGTTCTTTTTAAAGCTTGCTAAAGTAACCCCAGACACCAACACCTAATAGTTGTATATAATTGAAGGCTTTTATGTTGCAACTTTGACATTTTTTGGCAATGACTTCCCCAATAGGAAAGGCAATGATATCCATCTTGGCTCAGGTGATATAGAATATGAACTTTTGTAGAGCCATGTGTACTGTAGGACAACTTCTTGTATTAAGTAAAAAATGACTACACACTGTAGAACTTGGGAGACAGTTCAGGACATTTTAGTTGTAGTCAATGAAGGACCTTTCTATCTGGCCTACATATTCCAGATGTTTAGATTGGAACCAAATGCCTGGATCTTTCTATTTTGGCCATAGGTGTATCTAATCAAATCTGTGAATTCACTGGGGCATTAGCTAGCTTTACCTTTTATAGGTTAAGACCTGTAAGTATAACACAGTGTGAACAGAAACAACATTCTCATAACCTTACAGTCGTGGCTAGGTGTAACAATGGCTATTCTTTTTTGGTGTTTTCTTCATGGCTTCACTGTGTGTTCAGTATATGTGTTTGTGTTTAAACTTGCAAATATCTCAAATAAAATGCATTTAAAGATATACTGAATATGTACTGTAACACAAAGTCACCCAAATATGGAGCATATAAAACTTTTTCTAATCACTTACGTGGTCCTAAAAGATAACCTGCACTGTTCAATGTCCAGCCACGCTTCTCTTTACCCTAAAAAGACATTTCATTTAAATCAGAAAATTGCTCCCAATGCATATTAGAGGCACATTCACAATACTTCAAGGGTATTACTAAACATGTATATTTGCATGGTTGACCCAAGATTCATAATTTAAGGTGTGATGCTGACATGAGGTATAATATTTGTGTGAGTAGGTTTCACATGCATTCTACTTACAACAACCTCCTTGCTGGATATGACTATCTAAATTAGAATGTTTTCTGCTTTTACTCTTTACTGTTTGACAGGACAGGTCACCTTTTACATAATGGTGGCAGAACTGATAGCACTTACACTGCTTTCAACAGAACCAGCCACCTTTACTCTGTGATGGTAGGGCTAGTCTAACTCCGTCCCTCTAGTAACAGGGCTTTAATAAAACCTCTGCATTGATGCAGAAAATTAAGAAAGGGAACCAAGTTTACAACTTGGTCTTAATCAGCCAGCATTTTCTACTCTGCTTCTAATATACTTTTTCACCTATCTAACTATGTTACTGCTAGGGTTCAATTCCTCGAAATCTGTTTGAAATTCCCAAAACCAGACAAAATGCCAATCCTTTAAATTAAATGCTTGGAGATACCTTTACGCTGTATGTGGTGTTACAGAACTTTGATAATTAAACACAATGTCAAGTCAGAGTGCATAAAAACACTTCACAACCACCACCCAAAGCTCCCCAAATACTGCTTATCTGCATATACCCAAAATATTAAAAGTATAGACTTTAGGTATGTGTTTGGTTGAAATTGTAGTATCAGGTTAGTATATGAACACTTGAATAGACAGCAAATAGAAGGAGACAAGACAGATTTTATCTTGCAATACAAATTAGAAGGTATTACCTGACAGACAGTAGCCACAAATATTGTTTTATTAGCTGTTCAGTATGTAACCATCTTGGTTAGTCCCCATATTAGGCCTGGTTCTCACTAGTGCCATTTTTTGGGCTGTGGTGTGGCAGCCCATTCATTTAGATGAACTACCGTGCCTCTCAAAGCACAGGCAAAAGCTCCCTGCACCTTTCCAGAAATCACAGCCCACACTGGGAACCTCACTAGAGTTCACTAGTGTGAACTGAGCAGGAGAGATGTGACAGATTTTATCCTAAATTAAAAATAATTGTGTATTATTTGACAGACAATAGCCATTGATATTGAACAGTGGCTAAATAGTATGTAAACAACCTGGTTAGACTGCAATATGGGAAGGATATACGAGGCAGGTTTAATTTTGCAATAAACATTAAAGTGTATTACATAACATGGGACAGAGTTCTTAATTTCTAGTTAGAGCATTCCTTTTAATCATAATTACATATTATTTTAATGAAAAAAGTTGAGGAAAATGGTGCAAGAAATATCTGAAAAAAAGGGTTTAAAAGTGAAAAAATACTTAAGTGGAGTCTGGTCTTAGTATACAGTTTAGCATTAAGAACACTTGAAGATGAAGTCTAATTTGGTGTTGCAGGAGTCAGTAGCCCCCTAGTTTCAAAGGTAAAACATGAGCTTGCAGCTGTTGTTAGAGCCATCTTTTCTTGTCCCTGAAGAGGGTGTTGTAGAGCTAACTCTAACCATTCTAAGGGTCTGCAGGAGTGTCATATATAGTTTGTCGGTATAGTGTCGGTATAGTTCTACAGTAGGGGTTATGTAATATGATTGTAAACTGAGAGTTTAAGATATGTGAGAGTTCAGCTTTAGGTTATGATCCCAGAATCACAGATGTACAGTATGTTCCTTGGACTGCACTCCAGATCCTTTACAATTTGTCCATTTACAACAGGATTGCATCATAAGTCCTTTCTTCTAGATTGGAAAAAAGTGTCACCTCCCAGGACTGCTTAGAATGGACATGAGATTTTAGTCTAACCATTTTTGTTACCAAGTTGTGAACTTACGGGAAAATGAAGGTGGCAATGTATCCAATGTTACAATCCAATTCTCGCCACACAATTTGAGGTTCATCAGACCTCACTATCATCACATATTATCTGAGAGACAATAGCCAAAAATATTGTACAGTGGCTGCGTAGTATGCAAACAGGTTGACGAGGACACATTATAAGAGGAAAATATGAAAAAAAAAATTACTTTGAAATAAATATTAGGTTGTATTATCTGAGAATCAAAACTTAAACACTTTTTGAGTAGCTGAGCAATAGGATAGGTTGCAAGCTTTGAGGTGCAATGTAGTATTTTACCTGTTGCAAACATTAGAAATTTGGCAGCTGTGGTCCAGCTGTGAAAACACTGTATTACACCTTGACAGTACCTGGGCACTGGAACTGGCTGCTAACCCTATAGCAAACATTCAAAATTAGAGAGCTGGAGTCAAGTTGGGGAAAGATTATGTGGTATGTTTAAAGTGCCAGAGCACAGGAATAGGCCAAGAGAGGTGGCAGGAGCTGGTAATTATGGCAGGTATTATTTTTTTTTGTTGGGGGTAGAGGACAATTAAAAATCTAGTATGCAGCAGGGGTTTTGTAGCCACTGGTAATTCAAGACTGGGTCATGAAAGTGAGCCTGTCCACACTGTCAGGGAGCTGGTGGATTTGCCTCCTGCTGCACTGAAAGCCCTTTCAGATGGCACATTGAAAAGCCAGAAGCTCTGGCACATACTGTGCAAAATTTGACCAGTGGTCCAGCCTGGACATCTGGTATTTCATGGGGGCCTCACTTCACAAAGTGTCTTAATCAGCACTAGAGTCAATGTAATCAGAATTTATTTGGTTCAGGTGCTGTCTGTCAGTGCTGCCTTTAAACAGGCCTGGCTGCTGTGGTTTAAAAACAACTCTGAAACACAGCATTGAGGTGGCTGCCAGCACCGCTGCTCCTCCTGTTAGGGATCTCTATGACCACCATCAGGAAATATATCATAGAGATTCTTATGCAGCACCTGCTCAAAGTGTTGCATTTTAGGCTCCCTCTATAAAGCTGGCAGTAGATTGGCTGTTTTACACTTGTGTTAGGGATCTAATAGGGTGACCACCTAATACACACCCCTCTCTTTGATTATCTTAATTCTAGGGTCCTTGCACAGGCATTTAAGCATAAAAGACCAATTGCCCACAAATTACCTGCAGCAGAGGACACTGAATCCTCTGTGCCCCTGTGGCTAACACTGTCCTCAACAATATCACCCCACCCATGTACAACTACCTGGGTTAGGAAGAAATTAAACATCCCCATGAGGCCTACCCCATTTCCTCCTACTCACTGCCAGTACCCCAACCCTTCTCCTCCTCTTTGTATTGCTATATTGCTTCCTGCTATCTCTGCCTTACAGGGATGGAAGCAGTAGGCAAAATATCCTGCTGGCCCTGACAGTCCAGCAAGTCTTCTTCTTCCTTCTGCTGCTGTGTCTCCAATGCCCAGACTGTTAAAGCTCTGGAGTATGTATTCTCTGATAGTACATTGTTGCTTCTGCAGCATGGTCAATGTTCAGTTCAGCATGTTGAGATGTCACAAATGAAACAGTTGGCAGGCAGCTATGTTGGTGCTACATTTCTGAATACTGGCTGAATATGATTTCCTAAAGTAACCACAAACCCTTCTGGCCATATGAAGGATTATGGTACTCCATAATTAACCAATGCACCTCCAGGTTGGTACATCACAATTTTTACCAGGAGAAGGGCAGCCATCAGGTTAGTGACATGGTCATACACACCCTTTCCTGGTTGAAAATGACAAGGGCTCAGCAACACTATAGCCTGGGCATAGAGAGCTGTAAACAGCCCTGTGCCAGTGTAGCTCCTGTTCCCCTATGAATACAAACTGCAACACAGCACAACCAGCATTTAGCCTGGGATAGTGCATATGCTTGGGGGCACTTGGGGGAGGGGGGACTATTGGAACTGAGACCTATTGGTTCTAAGAAGTCAGTGGAGAAGGCCAAGTTAGAAGGAGATGGTACAAGTGACTGCTTTGTCACTATCAGACAAGACACATGGAGGGTCCTCCAGTGTCAGAGGTGTGCCCCATCCTGTATCCTTTCCAACTGCCAAAAGTTTGTGCTAACCAATATGCAGCATCCATGCTCATGTTTACTGGATTGCATGTCTATGGTATTGTGTACCCTGCTACTGAAAGCCTAGTCCAGTGACACAGGGAAGAAATGGTCTTCTGGGTAAATAGTGGCTGGGTACATGTCACTGTGTTGTAGCACAGGCCATACATTCAGGGAAATGGGACTCCACAAGCACATGAAAAGCCAGATTCTAAGAAACTAGGCATAGGAGTGATTTGGAGACATTTTTCTCTCTCTCTCTGCCTGCCCTTCCACCTCAGCATGCAGAAACGTCTTACTCTAGGCCTGTCTGTTATTTTTCTTTTAATAAAAGGGGTTACCTAATGGCAGCTATGGCAATAGAGAGGAATAATACATGGTGCTTTGGTGCACACTACCTTACCGTACAAGTATGCAGCGACATACTGATAACAAAGGGCAGTTTTGCCTGCTTGAACAACATACACTGCGTACCCCAGGGTAATTAAAAAGTCCCTCACAACAGAATTTACAGTATACCTCCCCTAAAAAATAATCCCTGAAACACTAACTTCAGCTCATTTTTCCATCCTAGCAGAAAATAAGAAAATGGCTAAATGTGAAATAACATTAAAATAGAAAAATAATAAAACAACTGCAATGGTGGTGGAGGTGTGGGGGAGGGGGGTGGCATCACCTAAACAGCAATCAGAATTGTTGCAGACACACCAAGAAAGTTTATCCTAAAAGGGAGTGTTGGGGTTATTTGTATTTGCAGCCCTCCACAGTGCAAGCCACAGTAATTTCATGCAATATAGTACAGTATAGCATCATATCCCAAGAAAATCTCCTTGCAGAGACTATTAGTTCTCCCTAATTTAGAGACACTGAAAAAATAGCTGCTGGGAGTTCACCCTTTTATAGTGGCTGGCATTTAACAAACTCACATACTTGGCCCTTCTAAAGCAGCTAGGATGTGGGTAGGAGAGGACTGAGAATAGATAGTGGTGGGGCAAAAAAACAACAGCCCTTTGATGGTAGGGGTCATTTTCAAACGGGTAACGAAAATACATTACACAAAGTGTGATGTCTCATCACTGTAATTGGTAGGTCTGAAGAACAGTGGATGGTTTTAACACACCTTTTCACATGTACTGTATATAATACCAATGAAAAAGAAGGAATGTAAAGGAGGAATGTAAAAGATGAACCAAAAACAGTGAAGTGCTGTATGAGCTGAACAAAATGACTTCTGCCTTGTGAAAATAATATAGTCTCACCCAAATAAAATAGTATGCCACCATCAAAAATGAAACCTGACCATTCAACTTTCTTTTACACAACACAGGCCTAGTAAACTTTGAGCAGCAAAGCATGTAAATGAAAGAGCCTTTATCTAAAAGGAAAAGTAAAAAAGAAAGACAAAGAATGCACTAAAAGCAGGTTTTAAGTAAAAATTTACTTTAGGTGTACTAGTCCATCTTAAGGTGGCTAATAAAAAATGTCCTCAAAGTCCGTCACATATTAAAGTGGGGTTTCTCAGAAGTCCCATTATTTGGTATGGCAGCAGAGACAGAGGCCAGTGAGGTCACATTGTGAGGTTTGGTAGCAAGAATGAACTGTGAAGGAGAGGGAAAAGAAAACAGAAGAATGGACTATGAAAGAGTGGAAGGAGAGAAGGCAGTGAGACAGGAAGGAAGGATTGTAGGTGTAGTAAGTAGGTGCATTGATCCTTCACATGGCATATAATTTGCTACAAAAAGATATTTTTCTGGACTTTTTTATCATTACACTTCCAAATCCCCCTCCAGTCCGTGAATGGATAAGTAAAAGGGCAATAGAATATAATAGGGGTGGCTTAGCCCATGGTCTTACAGGTACACTACATCATCATGATTTGAATTCCCTAAATTAAAAGTACTTGTTTATCATTTATCTAAGCAGACCACTTGATCTGGTAAATAGGTGATCATATTTACTGTATATCCAAACACAATCTGATCCCCTCCACTATTGAGTCTCATTGCCTTCTTTCTCTCTTCCACAATCTGGTCTCTCTCTGAAGTCATAAAAAAAATTGCGTTTGATCACAGTTTTTCAGTATAAGACCCTTTATGTCTCCTTTACCAAAGCATGTACAGTGCAATGTTTATTCTTGGCATCTTTAAGGTGCTGAAAAATAGGGTCCAATGTCAGGACTGTGTAGTTTTTTTGATTTTTTTTGCTTTGGCTTTCAACTATTTACTTATCTTCTGTTTCAAATGATTTTTTTTACAGCATCTCATGAGAATATTTGCAGATTCCTCCCTCCAGTGGCTATATGTCTGTTTACCAAATTCATCCAGGACCTCTACTTAACAACTGCTGAGATAACAGGACTCGTCACCTAGGGATTGTCTTGTTTTTCGTTTGCACATACTCTCAAATGCTAACATTGTAGTACAAATTTTGTATTTTATATAATTAATTAAAAGCTATAAAAATTAAGAAGTGGTTCGCATAGCTTTACAACTAACAGAAAAGTTGAATCATCTTTGCCGTTCAGAAAACAAAGATGACATGGACATATACATATATTTGTTTAAATTTAAAATATAGTATAAATAAAATAATGATCTATAATTTCAGCCTTGGCAGCCAATAAAGGTGATTTACTAAAACTGGTTCACACAGATTGTAGTGCAGTTATACATAGTAGCCAATTTGCTTCTAGGTTTTATTTTCAAAGGCTAATTGAACAAGCTGAAGTTAGAAGCAGATTACACCAGATTCTCTGAGCATCAGTTTCAGTAAATCTCTCCCACCATATTGACACATTTTGCCCATTTTTTGAAGGCAAATCTTAATACTTTCAAATATCAGCAGCTCAGGCTAAGTTATGAGAGCTATTCTATAAAGATCAAGTTTTCATTCTGATTAATCTAAAATATTAACAACATTAACACCTGGTTCCAGTTGATAAGAAAAACTATATACAAAATGAAGCAATATTTTCATATATATGATATAGTATTATTGTTAAACAAAAATCATTAACCATTCACTAAGGCCATCTTACATTTTAATAAGGTAAATGATGCAATCAGAAGAATATTTATAAAAGCTGAAGAAAAGTAAATGCTGCAAAAAATGTAATTGCTTGTGTATATGCAAAATCAGATTCCTTTTTCATTTTTCCACATAACAACATATTAAAAGTGATTGGTCACTATAAACAAAATCTTTGTATTTGTAGATAAATTTCTTTCATCTCTCTTCTTCTCCCTCTTTCATTTGCTGTCTCCTTGACTTACTAAAAAGTAGATAATGTTCATTTGGCAAAACAAAACTGTATTCATTTTGGATACCCAATCATTTTCAGGGGATTTAAACACAGGATTTTGCCTTGCATGTGATTGGAGGATTGCAGTGAACACTTTGATAACTACTTTAGCAAATTGATCCATTTGTGTATATAGAATATATAGTAAATGTACTTACTGATAAAACTAATCCAAATGTCTGTGAGATTGTAGCGCACAGTATTAAAGACACCAGAAGCAGACTTGTACACTTTTCCATCTGTATAAATATATAAAAAAAAGTGGCTAGCTTAAAATAAGTATACTTTTATTTACATTTTCTTTTTATCAGGTTATTTTATTTAAGATGAATACAGAAACCTGACTGACAGCAAACTTGGTAGCTATACAACTCAAATGAGTATACAGATTGTAGTTCTGAATGAGGGGGATGTACTAAAACTGGTACATTCAGAATCTGGTGCAGCTGTACACGATAGCCAATCAGCTTCTAACTTTAGCTTGTTTAGTTAAGCTTTGCCAATAAAACCGGGCAGCTGATTGGTTTCGATGCAGAGTTGCACCAGATTTTGCACTCTCCAGTTTTAGTAAATAAACCCCAATATGGGGCGGCACAGTGGCTAAATGGTTAGCACTTCTGCCTGGCAGTACTAGGGTTGCTGGTTCGAATCCCAACCACAGCTCCACCTGCCTGGAGTTTGCATGTTCTCCCTGTGCCTGCATGGGTTTCCTCCAGGCACTCCGGTTTCCTTCCACACTCCAAACACATGCTGGTAGGTTCATTGGATCCTGTCTAAAAATTGTCCCTAGTATATGTATGTATGAATGTGAGTTAGGGACCTCAGATTGTATACCCCTTGAGGCTTAGGGACTGATGTGAATGTACAATATATATGTAAAGTGCTGCGTAAATTGACGGCGCTATATAAGTACCTGAAATAAATAATAAATATGTATTGTAGTACTGAACATGTTTGATGCTAAAGTACACATCCTGCATATAACTGTTTTCTGAGTTTTCTTCTGCTGTGTGTTAATCAAACAACAGAAGAAATACAGTGGAGACTCTATCAGTCACTGCTACTACTATGGGATCTGATCAATCCCTGTTTTTTGCCAGGGAACAGGTTCAAATATAAGGGATGTTCTAAATGTGCTCAAATTCCCACAACATTTGTGAAAAATGTTACATGTGTAATCCACAGTTAAAATTATACTATATTACTACTACTGCTTACAATAAAATGGCTGTAAGTTGTGGTTGGTTGTCAGCACAAAAAAAATTATTTATTGTATATCAAATTATGTTGAACTACCTTTATATAAGTGCTACCTGGAAGTAAACACAAACTTTATTTTTTTTACCCTACATTTTCTTTTATCACATTTTTTTTTCACAAAGAAGTATACTTTTAAGCTTTTTAAAATAAGTTGAAATACAAAATCAATTTAACCCACTCTGATTGATAAAAATCTTAAAATTTTGTTGTGAAAAGTGACTTGTACTTTTACTGTCAATTCAGACAGTAATAAAATATTACATAGTAGCATATAAATAAATAAAGTATAAGGGTAGTAACACATAAATACTGCTTTCCAGCTTAATTATTTGTCTTAACTTATTTGGACTGGTAAAAATAAAAAAAATAAAAATAATAATAATAATAGCAATAGCTTAAAAGATCTCACAAAATACATTAATAACAAAGCTATGTGATTCTAAGGCATCCTTTCACTGAATTGCCCATTTGTACATAAATCTGTTCAAAGTGAATACAAAAAATAATAGAAGATAATAAGAAATACAATAGAAAACTAGCAGCAGAGAAATGACATGAATAGTGAAAATCAAGCAGAGGACAAACCTTGAGCTGATTTGGGTAGGTGTGTTTGCAGTTTCTGTCTCTTGATTCTTGCAGAAGTGTGCCACAGGTGCTCCCAGCTGGCATGCAGGAGAAGTGAGGTTGTGCAGTGATCCAAGAAAAACACACAGCAAGATTCTCACTGCATTGTATGGCATGCAAGTCTCCCCAGGGTGTTATGTGAAACAGCCAGGGGGCTCTGTATTTATGGTCAGCATCAGCTTGATATTGACTAGTCTCCCTCCCAAGGGTGCATGTAAGGGACTCAGACGTCACTAGATCATTTCCACTCCACAAGTCACTGTACTGAGGGAGGGCAAAAAATTACAGCAATTGAATTAAATGTACTTTGAAGCAATACGAAGGCAAAAGACAGATAACAGCCCTAGTAATTACCTGTGATTACGGCATGGGTGGACAGTTTGTACCGGTCCAAGTAGCTCCATTCTACTTGCCTCTCCTACTTTAGTCACTTTATTCTGTACATAGAAAGTAATGAAAGTGAAAATGATCATTTACATTTATGCTGCTTGAATTGACATTGAAATATTTTTATGATCTGTCAGTGAAAAAAGATAATAAAAATCACTGACTGTCTATGATACAGAGCATACCATAAAAATATATTGATATCTTGCATTCCTGAAAAAGCAACAGCAGCACCATGCCTATTGTACAAGTGACGCTGTTCAATAATCATAGTTCCGAAATGAAGTGTGACAACCTTAACATAAAAATAAAGTAACATAAGATGACCTTATCTTTCATTCTTTTTCAAATCCATTTGATGGCTTTGTTTCATTAAGAATGAGCGTAACATTAAAATGAAATACAAATATGCAATTTGCGCTCGGACGCACAAATGGTTTAAAGAGTATTATTGTCATGTACTGGAACTGCTTACGTAATTATATTTGCCCATAGTTTGTTACAACAATATTGTGCAGTTTATTATTATTTTTTAATTATTTAACCTAATCACCAAATGCATGCATGAAAAATGCTTGTTTCACTTCTATCCAATGGAGTTAACTAATGTTCTGGTCATACAGGAAATGGCATTTTACTTATTAGACGTGGTGAGACTATTTCCTTGAAATGCAGGATGTGGGTGGTGGTAACCATTACCATTATGTACTTATACAAAATCATATGTGTCTTAAGTAGGAAACTAAAAAGAATATATAAATGGAGACAGGGTATAAAGGTCATCACTGGTAAAAAAATATATTGATTGACAAATATATATATAATATTAATTATTCTATAAGTCTGATCATGCTGGGTGCCATGTCCCATATGTAGGATTGTATACAATTGGTTGAATTAGGGACTTTTTAGGCACTTACACACAAATTATTATAAAAGTACAAATTATTAATACAATTTCATTAAAAACATCATATAAAATTAGTTGCTGATCAACCACAAAGGTATATATACGGAGATCATCCTCACAGCTAGAAAAACACCAACATGTAAGTAGATGATCCAAAAGCATTTAAATGTTTCAGAAAATCTTCATCAGAGGACATGATGGTCAATAATGTGTACATAGATAATCTTTTTATAATACAATACAACTGAATGCCACAATGTGTCAAAGGAGAGAGGTGTGCCAATAGAGTGTAAGCCATGGAGCACAAGGGGCGCTATAGGTCCACAAGGACTGTCCACTAAATGAGTTCTAGAGAGCCCAACACACCCAACTTCCAAGACAGAGGTATATATAGATTTTTTCCATGTAAAGAAAAGATGTTATCTTCAAAAGGTATCTCCAAGAAGGGTAAGCAGTAAAGACTGCAAATCTACACTCACCGGCCACTTTATTAGGCACACCTTGCTAGTGCCAATAAAATATCCCCCACACCATTACACCACCACCAACCTGAACCATTGATACAAGGCAGGATGGATCCATGCTTTCATGTTGTTTACACCAAATTCTGAGCCTACCATCTGAATGTCGCAGCAACCAGTCTGCCTATTCTCCTCTGACATAAAGAAGGCATTTTCATTCACACAACTGCTGCTACTGGATATTTTCTCTTGTTTGGACCATTCTCTGTAAACCCTAGAGATGGTTGTGAGCAAAAATCCCAGTAGACCAGCAGTTTTTTTAAATACTCAGACCAGCCTGTCTGGCACTAACAACAATGTCACATTCAAAGTCACTTAAATCCCCTTTCTTCCTCATTCTGATGTTCAGTTTGAACTTCAGCAAGTCGTCTTCACCACATCTACATTGCTGCCATGTGATTGGCTGATTAGCAATTTGTGTTACCAAGCATTTGAACAGGTGTACCTATTAAGGTGGCCGGTGTGTGTAAATGATTCACTACCCTAATAGATTTCATCCATTAAAAAATCCAAAACCAAAAACTATATATATATATATATATATATATATATATATACTGTACATACACAGTACTGTGAAAAAGTCTTAGGCAAATTCTGTAAATTAAGAATGCTTTCAGAAATAGAAGTGTTAATAGTTTATTTTTATCAATCAACAAAATGGAAGAAAATTACCAAAAGAGAAATCCAACTCAACTCATTATTTGGCGTGTCCACACTTTGCCTTCAAAACAGCATTAATTATTCCATTCTTCTGTACACTTGCACACATTTTTGAAGGAACTTGACAGTTAGGTTGTTCTAAAAATCTTGGAGAACTAACCACAGATCTTCTGTGGATGTAAACTGCCTCAAATCCTCTTGTCTCTTCATGTAATCCCAGACAGACTCAATGATGTTGAAATCAGAGCTCTCTGGGAGCCTCCTTGTTCTTCTTTACAGTGAAGATAATTCTTAATTATGTTAGCTGTATGTTTGGCATCATTTTCCTGCTGTAGAATAAATTTGAAGCCAATCACACATCTCCCTAATGGTATGGCATGATCAGGGGTGGACTGACAACTCGTGGGGCCCCCGGGCAATAAGGGATCATGGGGCCCCTGTGTCCTCGCCCACACCCAAAAAAGCCTATGAAAAAGCCAATGAAAGGTACCAGGGGCATCTCATGGGGCCCCCTACTGACCCTGGGCCCTCGGGCAGTGCCCGAGTGCTCAAATGGTCAGTCCGCCCCTGGGCATGATGCATAATTATCTGCCTGTATCTCTTAGCTATGAGGACACCATTAATCCTGACCAAATCTCCAACTCCATTTGCAGAAATGCAACCCCAAACTTGCAAGGAACCTCAGCCATGCTTCACTGTTGCCTGCAGACATTCTTTATTGTACCTCTCTTCAGCCCTTCTCAAGCAAACTGCCTTTTGCTACAGCCAAATATTTCAAATTTGTCATTCATCAATCCAGAGCACCTGCTGCATTTTTCTGCACCCAAGTTCCTATGTTTTCATGCATAGTTGAGTCAGTTAGCCTAATTTCCATTTCTTATGCATGAAAACACTGAGTCAAAATTTGAATTTGACTGCAGAAAAAGGGAATTTGTCCACGAGGGGTTGGAGAGCGGTACAATAATGAGTGTCTGCAGGCAACAGTGAAGCATAGCAGAGGTTCCTTGCAAGTTTGGGGTTGCATTTCTGCAAATGGATTTGGAGATTTGGTCAGGATCAATGGTGTCCTCATTGCTGAGAGATTCAGGCAGATACTTATCCGTCATGCTATACCATCAGGGAGGCATGTGATTGGCCCCCCAATTTATTCTGCAGCAGGACAACAACCTCAAACATACAGCCAATGTTATTAACCACTTGACCTCCAGAGGATTTACTCCCCTTAATGACCAGGCCTCTTTTTGCTACTCGGCGCTGCACGAATTCAACTGATAATTGCGCAGTCATGCAATTCTGCACGCAAACGAAATTTACGTCCTTTTTTTCACACAAATAGAGCTTTCTTTCAGTGGTATTTGATCACCTGTGCGCTTTTTATTTTTCACGCTATAAACAAAAAAAGGCCAAAAATTTTGAAGAAAAACAATATTTTTTACTTTCAGCTATAAAAAATATATAGTAAACTCAAAGTTGGTTATAAATTTAGGCCAAAATGTATTCTGCTACATGTTTTTGGTAAAAAAAATCCCAATAAGTGTATATTGATTGCTTTGTGTGAAAGTTATAGCGTCTACAAACTATGGTATAGATACTGCAATTTACGCCATTTTTTTTGCTATACAGCGCTGCGCTAGTTTAACGGACAATTGCGCAGTCATGCAATATGGTACATAAATGAAATTTACATCCTTTTTTTTCCCACAAATTGAGCTTTCTTTTGGTGGTATTTGAACGCCTGTGCAGTTTTTATTTTTTGTGCTATAAAAAAAAAGGCTGACAATTTTGAGGAAAAAAAACAATATTTTGGACTTTTTGCTATAAAACATGTTCAGTAAAAAAAAATGTAAAAATCAAAGTTAGTCATAAATTTCTGCCAAAATGCATTCTGCAACATGTCTTTGCTAAAACAAAAACCCAATACGTGTAAATTAATTGGTTTACGTGAACGTTATAGCATTTACAAATGGCGGGAAAGATACTGGGATTTTTAGTTTTTTTTTATATTAATAATGGCGGTGATCAGTGACTTATGGCGGCGATCAGCGACTTATGGCGGCGATCAGCGACTTATGGCGGGACTGCTGGACTGACATTGGGGGGGGTACTGACTTTGGGTCACTGACATCCCCAGTGACACCAATACAGTGATCAGTGAAAAAAAAAAAACACTAAAACTGTACTAATGGCACTGGGGAGGAAGGGGGGTTAAGTTTATTTTTCAGGGAAAGGGTTATCTGTGTGAGGGGAGTGTTTTACTAGGGGGGGCGGGGGTGTGTACTGCACAGGACACCGCTGATCGGGAGAGAGAAACTCTTCTGTCCCGATCAGCTTGTCCTGGAGCTGTCAGGGAACTGACAGAAAGCACAGCTACTGCAGCTGTGCTCTCTGTCAGGGATTGCTGCCGATCACCGGGACATAGCCGGTAAGGACCGGCTGTGACCCGGCGACTGACATCCGTGGCTGTGATCGGCGGGACAGGTAGGGCAGCGGTGCGCCTCGCGCGCGCCCCTTACCTATTTACAAAACACATGTTTTAAAACGTGGTTTTGCCCAGCTGTGCCACCCTGACACGTATTTATACAGTGGCTGGGCGGCATGTGGTTAAGAACTAACTTAAAAAGAACAAGGATTTCTGGAAGTGATGGTTTTGATACCAAAGAGCCCTAATATCAATATCATTGAGTCTG